TTAACGAAGGAGTAAGGAAAGAAAAAAAATGAATGAATGAAAGAAGGCATGAATGTAGGAAGGAAGGAAGGAAGGAAGGAAGGAAGGAAGACTGAATGTAGGAATGAAGAAAGGAAGGAAGAAAGGAAGGAAGACTGAATGAATGAATGAAGAAAGGAAGGAAGGAAGGAAGGAAGGAAGGAAGACTGAATGTAGGAAGGAAGGAAGGAAGTAAGGAAGGAAGGAAGAAAGGGAGACTGAATGTAGGAAGGAAGGAAGGAAGGAAGGAAGGAAGGAAGGAAGACTGAATGTAGGATGTAGGAAGGAAGGAAGGAAGGTAGGAAGGAAGACTGAATGAATGAAGGAAGGAAGGAAGGAAGGAAGGAAGGAAGGAAGGAAGGAAGACTGAATGTAAGAAGGAAGGAAGGAAGGAAGACTGAATGTAAGAAGGAAGGAAGGAAGGAAGGAAGACTGAATGTAGGAAGGAAGGAAGGAAGGAAGGAAGGAAGGAAGGAAGGAAGGAAGGAAGACTGAATGTAAGAAGGAAGGAAGGAATGAATGAAGGAAGGAAGGAAGGAAGGCTGAATATAAGAAGGAAGGAAGGAAGGAAGACTGAATGTAAGAAGGAAGGAAGGAATGAATGAATGAAGGAAGGAAGGAAGGGAGACTGAATGTAAGAAGGAAGGAAGGAAGGAAGGAAGGAAGGAAGGAAGGAAGGAAGGAAGACTGAATGTAGGAAGGAAGGAAGGAAGGAAGGAAGACTGAATGTAAGAAGGAAGGAAGGAATGAATGAAGGAAGGAAGGAAGACTGAATGTAAGAAGGAAGGAAGGAAGGAAGGAAGGAAGGAAGACTGAATGTAAGAAGGAAGGAAGGAAGGAAGGAAGGAAGGAAGGAAGGAAGGAAGGAAGGAAGGAAGGAAGACTGAATGTAGGAAGGAAGGAAGGAAGGAAGGAAGGGAGACTGAATGAATGTAAGAAGGAAGGAAGGAAGGAAGGAAGACTGAATGTAAGAAGGAAGGAAGGAAGGAAGGAAGGAAGGAAGGAAGGAAGGAAGGAAGGAAGGAAGACTGAATGTAGGAAGCAAGGAAGGAAGGAAGAATTAATGTAAGAAATGTGGAACAATGAATGAACGAAGGAGTAAGGAAAGAAAAAAGAATGAATGAAAGAAGGAATGAATGTAGGAAGTTTAAGCATAACGGGAAAATAAAAGTAACTGGGTAGACATAGCTGTGGAGTTAGGAAGGAAGGAAGGAAAGTTAGAGAGAGAGAGAGATAGAGAGAGTGTGTGAGAGAGAGAAAGAAAAAGGAATATAAAAGAAGAAGACGGGGGAAACGATATACACTAAAAGAAAAAAGAAAGAAATAGAAAAGGGAAGAAAGGAAAGACAGAAGAAAGCAAAAATGAAGTATAAAAGAAGGAAGGAAGGAAGGAAGGAAGGAAGGAAGGAAGGAAGGAAGGATGCAAGAAAGAAAAAATTGATGGACAAAACGAGACGAAAACGATGCCAGAAACGAGAAAGAAACAAATGGAGGGATGAGGACAAGAAAGAGGAGAATAAGAAAGAGATATGAGTCTAAAGAGGGGGGGAGAGTGAAAGAGAAGGATAAGTAAAATAAGCTTAGGTGTCAAGAAGAAGGTTTGAAAAAAGAATTTATATATATATATATATATATATATAGAGAGAGAGAGAGAGAGAGACAGACAGACAGACAGACAGAGAGAAAGAGAGAGGAGAAAGGTCATTGGAATGACCCATGATGCATTCCAAAAGCTAAGAAGAGTATTAAAAAACAGAAGAAAAAAAATTAGTTCGAAATAAACGATGAATACTGAATTGTTACAGGATATATGAACTGCTATATGCCAGTGAACGATGGGCAGTTTCCTCAAAGATAAGAAAGAGACTTGAAGCAGCAGGGATATATGTCCTCCTGTATGGCAGTAAATGCTGAACAATCTCTTCAAAAATGAGAAAGAGACTTGAAGCAGCAGAAATGTGGTTCTACAGAAAGATGCTGAGGATACCATGGACTGAACATGGGAGCCACAACGAAGTTTTAGAGAAAATAGAAGCTTATAAAGGAAATTTATACTTAAAATCAGGAAGAGACAAATGACATTTCTAAGGCCCATAATGAAGAAAGAAGACTTGGAAAATTTGATACTCACGTGACATTCAAGGTAAGAGGGACAAAGGAAAACAAAGCATAACCTACATAGAGAGTTTGAATAAATGTATGACAGATCATGGTTTGTCAGAAATAACAAAAAGAGAAAATTTACTCCCCCCAATAGACTATGTGTGTGTGTATGTGTGTATGCGCGCGTGTGTGTGTATGTATTTATGCGTGTGCGTGTATATGTACATATAAGTAGAAAAAGTTTGCCCGCGTATGTTCGTTACAAAATGCAGGTACAGTAGGCTGATGAAAATAAATAATACGAATGCTGCTAATACTACTACTATCACGGCCACCATTATTACTATTACTAAGACTACTACTACAATTACTAACAATAATAATAATAAATAAATAAATAAATATTCATCAATTTCTTTCGTTATATATAAAGAGACATGAAGAAAAACTTATACGCTGAGAAAGGCGAAACATTTTTCTCAATATAGTTGTTTTGTCTATTGGCTTAATAATAATAATATTATTTGTGACACTATTTAGGTCGCTAGAAAGAAAGAAGAAAAAAAGAAAGGCGAGAATTAAATTTAGGTGATAAGAAGCCATCACGAAAAGGACACTAAACGATGTTATTCTTTTTAACAAAGAAAAATGCTAAAGGTTTTATTCTCATTAGCGAGGAAAGTAAGGTCGCGGATGTTTCGGATTTAATCTGATTTATGTTACGGGGCGGCGAGTAAGAAGTATCCAATCTGCCCATGGCAATGGTAAAAATTTCAAGTTGGACAAGCGACCTCCCGCAGAATTCTAAAGAGATAAAAATTAAATAGGTCATGCGCTGACCTAAAAACAAAAATGTCCGCAGGACCACCATGAAGGAAAGATTAAGCCTTTGACTATATGCAGAATATCATTGACAGGAGCATCTGTTTATTGTCAGGGCTGGCTATGATAGCAAAATTATGTTATCAGAACGAATAATTGGCACCAAGGTGCGATACGTCCAATTGCCCACCCACTTGATAATTGGCGAAAATCTCGTTGATGAATTCCATATGAAATTCGGGTAAGATAAGAGTCTAAGGACTTGTGGTCGAGAAGAAGAAAGAAAAGAAAGAAAAGAAAAAGAAAAAAAGGAGATAATTTTTTTTCTTTGAGCAAGATTTTTTAAACCGAGGCTAGTCTAGCCACACTCACGCCGCTGAGCGCCCATTGGCTGAATGGTGACGTGAGCGTTAGGCGAAGGTAAACTATGAAGAAAGAGGGGGGACCCTTAACGCCTCCTGAAGAGATCGGTATGAGATGCCACCGTGAGAGAGAGGGGAAACCTGTTGACGCCCCATGAAGGGATTGGATGAGATACCCATATGAAAAAGGAAGAATCTGGAAGGGCTTCCAAAAATGGAAAATAATAAATTTTCCTGACCGAAAACAAAGAAGTGGATTGTGGATTTAGAATTATCAAGGAACCTCAAATCCCGACAAGCCCACCCCGGTTTTGGTTGGCGTCCATATAAGCAGAGTCTCAGCGAGTGAAAAGCAGTTCCAGTTGGGGTTGGAGACAGACAGGCAAGCAGTTGCAGTGAGCTGAGAGCTCTGAGGACCCACCTCGCAGAAGCTGACTAAGATTCTCGCAATTCCGAACTCAACTTCTAACCAAGAACAATTTATTTTTGAAGAACGACTTAGACTCACACTACCAAAACAAGTTTTACGAATATCGCCTGAAGATACACCAACACCAGTTTCTTAAAAGAACAATTTAAGATGTTAAGACTCGCCTAACAAAACAGAAAGTGTCACGAATCCATATTAACGGGTTGGGAGAAAGATGCAGTCCTGTATTCAGCAACCAGATATAAGATATTGTTATCCTTTTTTAACACATTTGAACTTTTCGAGTTATTATTTTATTTTCTTTTACATATACTTGTGCGATATCGCCCTTGCATTACGGCCCGGCGACTGATTGATTTCGTCTACCTAAAATCAAATCACAACGTGGGTAGGTTAGACTAGAGATCAAAGCAGTTACTTCGGTAACCAGACGTTGGAGGCGAGCTGGGAACGACAAGGCTGATACCGAACCTAACCAGATTCCCATCCGAATCAGCAAAAGGTTAGAACGTCACATTTGGTGTCGCGACCAATACCAAGTCACATTGGTCGTCGCAGGACAGGATAGGACGGCGACGGCGCGGAGACAGACGGGGTGACGTCACAACTATTATTTCCTTTGGTTTCTGTTGTATACGCATTTCCTTCCGGGTCCCAACCAGAGACGTAAGGTCAGAAAAAGATTCATGATATTTTCCACTGATCATTTTTTGTAAAAAAAACCCCCAAAGATCACACACGTTTTACATAGATAAATCTCTTTGTAATGATTTTGAGTACAATTTTTTGTATTTCTTTAAGGCATGAGCTACCAGGAACTTTTTCCAATCAATCCGAGTGCTCCAAATACAACTGGAATTATTGATGTCCTCGTGTGTCACATTTTTAAGATTTCCCCTTCAAGATCCTTGTATTTTGATAGTTTTTTGAAGATCTTCAAAGATACATTACAGTCTGCAAGGGAAATCCATGTCAATAAGAAAGTTAATTCTGTTCTTGTGGTCTTTGATCATGATGCCTGGGAGATTAACTTTTATTGTTCTGTCTGTGTCTATTACAAAGTCCCATAAAATGATTATAATTATTGTTCTTCTTCTTTTAGTATATATGTAAAATGACCCTATATTTTAATACAAAAAAACAGAATATTTATTATTTTAGGGTACCCTCCGAGTGCCGCCTTGTCGGTCCGTTTGCGATTAAACTGGTTTTCCCACCAGAATTTTCTGGCGAGAATTAAAATCAAGACCAAAATACGCATGCATCTTCTTGTAGAATTAATTAACATCTAGCAAAATAGGCAAGTGTAGGCTTCATAACAATGTCTGCAGCCAGCGAGGCGGGGGCACGCCATTGCTGGAAGAAGGGCTTCTTAGAATCAGGTCAATGGTCAGGACGTAGGTACCCACCAATCTCGATGGAATTAACAGCCAACTGTTCGTGGCCAGGCCAAGGCAAGCATTAAAGAAAGAAAGAAAGAAAGGAAGAATGAAAGAAAGAAAAAAGAAAAGAAAAGAAAGAAAGAAAAGAAAGAAAGAAAAGAAAAGAAAGAAAGAAAGAAAGAAAGGAAGAAAGAAAGAAAGAAAGAAGAAAGAAAAGAAAAGAAAGAAAGAATACAAAGATAGAAAAGAAAAGAAAGAAATAAAGAAACGAAAAGAAAGAAAGAAAGAAAAGAAAGAAAAGAAAGAAAGGAAGAAAGAAAGAAAAGAAAAGAAAGAAAGAAAGAATAGAAAGATAGAAAAGAAAAGAAAGAAAGAAAAGAAAGAAATAAAGAAACGAAAAGAAAGAAAGAAAAGAAAGAAAAGAAAGGAAGGAAGAAAGAAAGAAAAGAAAAGAAAGAAAGAATAGAAAGATAGAAAAGAAAAGAAAGAAAGAAAGAAACGAAAAGAAAAAAAGAAAGATAAGAAAAAAGAAAGAAAGAAAGAAAAGAAAAGAAAGAAAGAAAGTCAAAGAGATGAATTTGATACATTAAAATATGGCTGTAACCTGTAGGATTTCTTAAAAACTACATAAGTGGAGGTGGGGAAGACGGATGAAGACAAACTTAAAAGCGAATAAAAAATGAAAAAATAAATGACTAAAAAAAGAATAATGAGTAAAAAAAACGATTGATAATGAAAGAGAAAATAAAGAATGTCTAAATATGAAAAGAAAGACATGATAGCGCTGTCATTTGTCCAAATGTTGGCACAGTGCCATTCGTCTCTGTGCTTCTTGGAACCGATTTTCTGCCTGCGCAGCCAACGAAGATGAATTCAGTCATCATTTGGCAGAGGGTTTCTAATTTGAGTTTTTTTTAATATCTTTGGAATGATTGATTTGATTTGTTTTTTTTTAACGGCATTTCAACACCTCATGGGTCATTTAATGTCGAAATTTAACTTTCTTCATAGCTTTGAAGTAATAAAAATAGGTTATTATTTTCTCTTCTAGTTACATCTGCTATCCATTTTAATTGTTGCTAATGTTGGTAGTCCTCACGTGATGCGGTTTCTCTTATTTGGTACAATCCTTTGTTTGTGTTTCTGTAGAGTCAGTTCACAATGTTCCAAGAAGGGTAGTCTTTGCCAAGACCTTCAGGCTTCACTCGCTCAAAGCCATTTTTAAACATTGATCTTAGAAAGCGGTTTTATACAGCTGATAGTTTTAGTTTTTGAGCGGTGGATTGATTGATGACTGAATTTTTTTGTTTATCGGCATATCGACATTTTATGAGCAATTTAATGAATAAATTTAATTTTCTTGAGAGTGTTGAGGTAATAAAAAATAATGTATATGTTATTCTACTTTCACAATTGAATACATGGTAGATAATACTCAGCTTTTGCGCATATACATGTTTGTATGGATATAATTATTAGAGGCGGTGATATGTGTATTTTATGTTGTTTTGTTATATTTTGAAATATAGTTTGATTTCTTTAAGAATTTATAGGATATTTTATGGATTAATGTCATGAAAGAGTTCTTTCGCGTTGGTTGTTTGGTTGATTTCATTTTATTTAGCGGAATATCAACATCTCCATGGGTTATTTAATCCTGGGATATAAATTTTTTGAACACAATTTTATGACTTCAATTAATATATATTTTGAACGCAATTTGATGGCTTCAACTACCGATAAAATGTATTGTTGGTCATTTTTGCTATAAAATGTATTGTTGGTAATTTTACTATAAAATGTATTGTTGGTAATTTTACTATAAAATGTATTGTAGGTCATTTGACTATAAAATGTATTGTTCATTTTGCTATAAAAATGTATTGTCGGTAATTTGACTATAAAAATGTATTGTTGGTCAATTTATTATAAAATTAATTTTTGGTAATTTTTCTATAAAAATGTATTGTTGGTAATTTTACTATAAAATGACTGGAACGTCTGCATCTCGACTCCAACCGACGACACGACCGGAACGTCTGCATCTCGACTCCAACCGACGACACGACCGGAACGTCTGCATCTCGACTCAACCGACGACACGACCGGAACGTCTGCATCTCGACTCCAAGCGACGACACGACCGGAACGTCTGCATCTCGACTCAACCAACGACATGACCGGAACGTCTGCATCTCGACTCCAACCGACGACACGACCGGAACGTCTGCATCTCGACTCCAACCGACGACACGACCGGAACGTCTGCATCTCGACTCCAACCGACGACACGACCGGAACGTCTGCATCTCGACTCCAACCGACGACACGACCGGAACGTCTGCATCTCGACTCCAACCGACGACACGACCGGAACGTCTGCATCTCGACTCCAACCGACGACACGACCGGAACGTCTGCATCTCGACTCCAACCGACGACACGACCGGAACGTCTGCATCTCGACTCCAACCGTCGACACGACCGGAACGTCTGCATCTCGACTCCAACCGACGACACGACCGGAACGTCTGCATCTCGACTCCAACCGACGACACGACCGGAACGTCTGCATCTCGACTCCAACCGTCGACACGACCGGAACGTCTGCATCTCGACTCCAACCGACGACACGACCAGTCCGACCACCATTACCATATAGAGACCAATATCTCCCCCCTATCTATTCTTTATCTAATAAACTTAACATTAATCATACATATCCTCGTTCTGTTGTCCATTTTGTTTCACCTTGTCAGATTTAACGTCTTTAATACGAAAAACGTTAGCGGGCCTCTTGTGAACTCATCGCCTACGATACGGGTGTGCTCGGGCTGTGGTTTCATATCACGCACCCCCCTCACCTCCAGTGGGTCCGCTACAATCATATTGGAAGATTTGCAAATGGGGACTTTTTTCCATTGATACCGCTATTATTTTAAGTATCTTCACTCCCTGGCAATATTTATTCTTTTAAAAAGTGATGATTAGAATTGTAATAAAAACTAAACAAATGATAAAAGTGAATTTATACATTTTCTTTGTTTTTGAGAATTGGCAACAAAAATAATAAACTATTTATTTATTAGATTGTTTATTAAAAATATTTCTTTATTACACTGTCTTTAATTGTTTGTAAAACATCGGCTAATTACAAATTTATCCGAACTTTATTAAATTGTAAATAACAAGGAAAATGAAAACAAAATACCAATAAACAGGAAAATTTCATTATAAACACAGAAAAGAAGGCGGAAATAATATGTAATAGTAAACTTTCAGAAAAGCGGTAATTTTCTCGCAATAAAACAGACTGTCAAGACGGTTTTTCCACTGACAGCGTTATTATCTTAACAGCCAATAGAAAACTAGGAAACATTTAAAAACAAAATTCAAATAATCTTCAATTCTCAGAAACAAATTCTCTTACGGACCTTTTCGCGAGCCGACGCGGAGTTTGTTTGTCGTCCAATGGAAAGGCCCGAATCATATCCGGGAGTAAATTCCCAAATGACCTTTTCAAGCCTCGCAAACAAAATAAAAGACAGGCAAGTTCGCCTGTCACCAGAGAGAAAGAGACGAGCGTATTAACACGTCAAGCGATCGTTATTATTATCTCTACCTTTTTCCCTCACCTCTTTTATACTTGATAAACGAACGGAACATTTTAAGACTGAGCGATTACTTCAAAAATATTTCTACCTTACGATAACGCTCATACATACATACATACATACATACATACATACGTTCCTGCCTGCGTACACATAAACTCATTCTTGCAAGGACTACTACGAACATTTTGACGACCTTGTATCAACCAAAATACATTAATTTTATTTGTAGAGACCTTAATTGATTTATATGTATATAAATTTGTTCACTTTACAATTTGATTTTCTTGTTTTATACCGCTCTTATGGTGAGCTATCTAACTAACAAGGCCAAATCAAGCTAATCTTTTTTAACACCCATACACTTCATTATAACTGATAACCCACTATATAATGAAACATAAAAATATAATGGAAGTAATCTAATACTTAATAAGCTTGTCTCGCTAGAACAATTACGACTGAGTAGTGAGTTCGATCCTCACTGGGTACTTCATACTTTCTGCCACATCTAAACTACGCTTAGAAAATCACCATTTGAGGAAAATGAATTTATCCCCTTTTTTTGTTCGTGAGAATTTACAACAAAAATATTTAACACTATTTCTTACATTGTTTATTTACAGGAATAATGTTATGTTTACAACATTCTAAAAACTAATACAATTAAAACTAATGTAATATTATTTCATTTATTAATTTATAAACAAATAAATATGAAAACTATTTTTTAACCATACATTTATAAACATTTAATAAATAATTAAAATATGTGAACCAACTTTAAGGAAATCCTTATTATTTACCATTTTATAAAGTTCGAATTAATGTGCTTTATTCCAATAAAAAATCTAATAAATAAATAATAATAATAATAAATCTATTCTAATAAAAATATTAAAAAATGTTTCAATTAATTCCAGTATTAAATAAATCTTAGAACCATTATTATAATACTGGTATAATACTTACTGTATATCTACTTTGGCATCCCCCCAGTATATCTATATTATTGAAAATCTTTATTTTTTTCCATATTAGTATATATATATATATTTACATGGATTATTTTTATAGACGAGTTTTTGGTAAACGTGGACCTTAGTAGCCACAATAAAAAAAAACGGATTGTCAAAAGGACGATTTTTCCCTTGACACCGCTATTATTTTAACTACCTTCATTTCTCGGAGATGTTTGTTGTAAAAAGAGACCATTAATGTTGAAATAAAACCTAAATATATGCTGAAAGTGAGTTTATACATATTTTGTTGCTAAGAATTTCCTATAAAAGTATTAAACACTAGTTGTTTATTAGATTGCTTATTTACAAGAATAATTTTATATTTACAACATTCTAAAAACTAATACAATTATAACAAATGAAATATTTATCATTTACCAATTTACAAAGAAATAAATATATATTTTTACCCGTAAATTTATAAACATTTACTAAGTTATTAAAATATGTGAACTCTAAGGAAATCTTTATTATTTAACATTTTATAAATTGGAATCAATTGGTAATTAACCGATGTTTTGCCAACAATTCCAGACTCACTTTAAATCTTTCAATATTTAATACGAAGTCAGATAAGCAATGTTCATGAACACACACCCAATCACGCAGATTTCCACTTGAAAAAACGTAAATACATTGAGATAACCACAATCATATATTCATGATTTGGGTAATGTGCTGTAAGTGGCGTATGATCTACGCAAAAAAATCAATTGGTCTATATTTGTCATCTATCCGAATATGTTCATTTCTATCTCAGATAGATATGAACAGTGAGATACTTAGCTAGCTAGCTAGATACGAGCAGACTGATATATATATATATATATATATATATATATATATATATATATATAGAGAGAGAGAGAGAGAGAGAGATAGACAGACAGACAGAGATAAACGGACTGAGATAGAAGTAAAAAGTGAGGTATGAACAAAATGGGATAGATATGAACAGACTAAGATAGATAGATAGATAGATAGATAGATAGATAGATAGATAGATAGATTGACGGCAATGTAAATGCAATGTCAATAGTTATCCACTGTCTTAATTCTTGTTCGATCTCCCTCCTTAATAGCGTTTCTTTCTCATATTCTCTAACATTCAGTACCCCACCTTGCGTCTTAGTGACTTTATTGCCTTACTTGGTGTGAAAGGATAAAAAACAATCTTTTATAAGCATTAACCTTTACCAGTAAAATTCCACAGGTTTAATACAAAAATATTTTCGATGAACTTTTGAATCTGGTTTTCCTTTGATAAACTTTTTCCTCTTCACCGCGTTTCGCAGCGATCGATAAAGGTAATAATCGCTTGATGCAAGATCAGGTAAATATGGCGAATGGGGCAGAACAAACTAACCGAATTTCACTTTGTTTCACTGTGTTATTTTTTTCTGTATGGGAATATCATTTTTCTACATGTGTAAATGACTTGTTGACCAAAATCATATAGACACGTTGCAGCTGCTGGACGTATGAGTGTGCATTTATAGTTTCATGGCGCCTTCGGAACTTTAAATGAATATGGATGGATGGCTAGTCGTATACGCGGATGGCCATCTCCTCGGACTGCTAACTAATCCCTGTTGCAGACGCCTGCTCAGGCACGTTTGTGTTTGTTCAAAACTCAAAGAGCCCAGCTGTGGGTTATACTGAGCGGACCTTAGTTACAGTGTCTGGGAAAGATCGCGTTATTTAAAGTGATCAACAGTCTGAACAAGAACAACACGCTCAAACCCTCAGTCACGATGACTTGTGACTTTGTGCTAGCAAAACCATCGATAGCTCCCAAACGGTCCAATTTCATTCACAGGGCTTGGGTCAACCCACGGCAATGGATTTCAGTCCCTTTCCAAAGGAGCCGCACGCTGAGACCGCCTCTTCCAGACCGATCACATAAATAAAGTCACCTTCCTGGCAAATCGGCACTGGAGAGATTCGAACCCGCGGCTCATGGTCAGGAAGTAAACGTTCTAACCACTTGGTCATGTGCCCACGAATGCCCGTCTAAATGAATACCCCAACGATCACGCCACTTGAATGATATTACCTTTATTTCATGGAGCTTGGTTTTGGAGACAGTTCTAGAGATTTATTCTAGTCAATCGATTGCCCTTTGCCTTGAATCTGTCTCCTTTGTAACCCATTTTTCATCACCTGCTATGAGATAGAGGGTGCGATGGATAAATTGTCGTCTAAATGACGCGAAAATGAAAATAACACTGGCATCCTATTTTGACAGATATACACGGTGCGATGGATAAATTGTCGTCTAAATGACGCAGAAATGAAAGAAACTGGCATTTCGTTTTGATATGCACGGTGCGATGGATAAATTGTCGTCTAAATGACGCAAAAATGAAAATAACACTGGCATCCCATTTTAACAGATATATTCACAAACATTACACAAAGATATCTCAAAATACTGAAGAGTAAATTTATTCAATAAAATCGAGATTGGCTTCCTCGACGGCCTCCAGACGACTTTGAAATCTCCTGCATCTAGTTGGTGAATGCCACCATCATTCTTGCCCAAGGGGGTGCAGTCTGGGGGTTAGGTGGACATGACTATATTCTCCTGCTTGTGTGGCATGGTGTAGAGTCCTGTTGCCAGACATAGGGTTGTCTAGAAGCCACTGTCTTGACCTAGGGCAGCACTCCCTCCTCAATACACTTGATGTAGGCCTCCGTGTTGAGTCTGAAAACCTGTAATAGAGTTACAAGTTCTCCACTGCCTTAGGACACATTGCACAGTGGATAAAGGCGATCAGTGACAGGATCCAAAGACAGGACCAATACTCGGCTAAGGCAGTGGAAAACTCGGAGAGGGGAAATTAACAGGGATAACTGATATCCATTAAAACAACGTGGAACTAGAACAGTCTACCCCAGTAAGCTAAATAAAGGGTTCAGTTCGACATTCCAACTACCTGAAGAAGTCCGGAGCGTACAACGGCCGAAACGTTGTAATAAATATGGTGAGAAAGATGCGGACAATAGTCCGAATAAGGTATATAGTGAAGATAAGTTATATTGTATATCTTATTGCTGCGTGTTCAAGTAGAACTTATATACGATCCATCGCTAAAGATGCAGGTAAAATGATCGACTGCCTGTATGTAAGTACAAGGAGCCGATCACCAGTAAGTACCTGGCTCCTCATTCTGTTCTCTACCTAGATCAGGCTGAAAATAGAATACTTTTGCCGAATTTGGACGGGAGCTGCCTAGTCCTCACTCTCCGGTCTTAATAGAGTTCAAAAGGGTCTCCGAGTCCTTGTGGGAGAAGAATTATTTTCCATCCTCCAACCTCTCTCTCTCTCTCTCTCTCTCACACACACACACACACACACACAAGCGGGATGCGGCGAATCTCTCACTACTCTATCGCTACTACCATAGAAACTGCTCGGACGAACTATATTTCCGCCTAGTCTGATCTTCTGGTCTAGGCCTCATCATGCCACTTACATAGTAGCAAACCACACACATTCCTTCCATCTTCCATTGGTGAGAAGTAAGTTCCACTCAAACAGCTTCTTCCCGTGAACCACTTCCCTGTGGAAAATACTCCCATGAGGGTGTTTCCCTGACCACTGCAATCTTAACCTGTTCAAGTCTAGAGTAAAACTCCTCCCATCCATATAAACTACCCTTTAACATAACCCCCCTCGAGGTGTGTACAGGCTGAACTTTACTGTGAAAAATAAAAATTCGTACATGCCTACCACACAACATTATACGTTTCTATATCGTACATTAACTGTATTCCATTCTTATATGTCCATTCCGAAATTCTCCATTCCTATAATTTAGAATGTTACATGTTTATATTAGACATTATTTATTCCTCTATTCTATATTCCTATATTCTACTTTTAAATTCTACATTCCTATAATTAAGAATGTTACAAATTTATATTAGACATTATTTATTCCTATATTTTATATTCTACTTTTAAATTGTACATTGCTATAATTATGAATATTACATATTTATAATAGTCATTATTTATTCCTATATTCTATATTCTACTTTTAAATTCTACATTCCTATAATAAAGAATGTTGCATATTTTTATTAGGCATTAGTTATTCCTATATTCTATATTCGACTTTTAAATTCTACATTCCTATAATTAAGAATGTTACAAATTTATATTAGACATTATTTATTCCTATATTCTATATTCAATTTTTAAATTCTACATTCCTATAATTAAGAATGTTACATATTTTTATTAGACATTATTTATTCCTATATTCTATATTCGACTTTTAAATTCTACATTCCTATAATGTTACATATTTATATTAGACTCTATTTATTCCTATATTCTATATTCTACTTTTAAATTCTACATTCCTATAATTAAGAATGTTACATATTTATATTAGACATTATTTATTCCTATATTCTATATTCCTATATTCTACCTTTAAATCCTACATTTTTATAATATAATTACTTCAATTTTGAATGTTAGATTCTTATAATAATATACTTTCCGATACGTACCTAAATCGTACATTATACGTTATGTATTCCTACATTCTATATTCCTATATTCTACTTTCTTATGAAATATAATTCCAATAAATTGAATGTTATATTCTGATATTATAAAGTTTGCATTATTATTTCCTACATTCTACATTCCTAAATTCTACATTCTTACGTTATTTAATATAATTCCTTTATTCCAGCATTTTACATATTTGCATTATATATTATACATTCCGACATTCTCATATTCGATAATAAAAAAATATGACGGAAAAAGCAAGATCACAACAGGAGGGAATATTAATTATTTGTTTCTTAATCAGCGTTTTCCTGTTTTCAACAAAGCAGTATGTTGTTTTTTTCTCTCTTTCTCTCACAGTTCTGATGTTTCCTTCTCTTTTTTATTTCTTTCGTTTTCATCTTCTCTTTTCTCTCACTTTTCTCTCTATTCCTTTCTCTTCCTGTAATTTTTACTTTCTTTCTCTCTTCGTTCACATCTTCTGATGTTTCTCTATTCTTTCTATTTCCTTATATTATTTACTTTCTTTCTCTCTTCCGTTCATCTTCTCTCTTTCTCTCACTATTTCTCTCTATTCCTTTCTCTTCCTCCCTAATATTATTTACTTTCTTTCTCTCTTCCGTTCATCTTCTCTCTTTCTCTCACTATTTCTCTCTATTCCTTTCTCTTCCTCCCTAATATTATTTACTTTCTTTCTCTCTTTCGTTCTCTCTTTTTCTCTATTCCTTTCTCTTCCTCCCTATTTTCTTTCTTTTCTCTTCCGTTCATCTTCTCTCTTTTTCTCTTATTTTCTCTATTCCTTTCTCTTCCTCCCTAATATTATTTCTTCCGTTCATGCGTTCATTTTCTCTATTTCTCTCACTATTTCTCTCTATTCCTTTCTCTTCCTCCCTTGTATTATTTACTTTCTTTCTCTCTTCCGTTCATCTTCTCTACTTTCTCTCACTATTTCTCTCTATTCCTTTCTCTTCCTCCCTAATCTATTTTCTATTCCTTTTTTCTTTTTTCTCTTCCGTTCATTTTCTCTCTTTTCTCTCACTATTTCTCTCTATTCCTTTCTCTTCCTCCCTAATATTATTTACTTTCTTTCTCTCTTCCGTTCATCTTCTCTCTCTTTTCTCTATTTCTCCCTATTCCTTTCTCTTCCTCCCTAATATTATTTACTTTCTTTCTCTCTTCCGTTCATCTTCTCTCTTTCTCTCCTATTTCTCTCTTTCCTTTCTTTCCTCCCTTATTTTTATTTTCTTTTCTATTCCGTTCATCTTCTCTCTTTTCTCTCACTATTTCTCTATTCCTTTCTCTTCCTCCCTTGTATTATTTACTTTCTTTCTCTCTTCCGTTCATCTTCTCTTTTTCTCTACTATTTCTCTCATTCCTTTCTCTTCCTCCCTAATATTATTTTCTTTTTTTTCTCTTCCGTTCATTTCTCTTTTTCTCTATTATTTCTCTCTATTCCTTTTCTTCCTCCCTTGTATTTTTTTCTTTCTTTCTTCCGTTCATTTTCTCTATTTCTCTCACTATTTCTCTCTATTCCTTTCTCTTCCTCCCTTGTATTATTTACTTTTCTTCTCTCTTCCGTTCATCTTCTCTCTTTCTCTCACTATTTCTCTCTATTCCTTTCTCTTCCTCCCTAATATTATTTACTTTCTTTTCTCTTCCGTTCATCTTCTCTCTTTTCTCTCACTATTTTCTCTATTCCTTTCTCTTCCTCCCTTGTATTATTTACTTTCTTTCTCTCTTCCGTTCATCTTCTCTCTTTCTCTCACTATTTCTCTCTATTCCTTTCTCTTCCTCCCTTGTATTATTTTTTTCTTTTCTCTCTTCCGTTCATCTCTCTTTCTCTTTTTCTCACTTTTCTTCCTCCCTTTGTATTATTTCTTTCTTTTCTCTTCCGTTCATCTTCTCCTTTTCTCATTATTTCTCTCTATTCCTTTCTCTTCCTCCCGTTTATTTTCTTTCTTTTCTCTTCGTTCATCTTCTCTCTTTCTCTCACTATTTCTCTCTATTCCTTTCTCTTCCTCCCTAATATTATTTACTTTCTTTCTCTCTTGCGTTCATTTTCTCTATTTCTCTCACTATTTCTCTCTATTCCTTTCTCTTCCTCCCTTGTATTATTTACTTTCTTTCTCTCTTCCGTTCATCTTCTCTCTTTCTCTCACTATTTCTCTCTATTCCTTTCTCTTCCTCCCTTGTATTATTTACTTTCTTTCTCTCTTCCGTTCATCTTCTCTCTTTCTCTCACTATTTCTCTCTATTCCTTTTCTCTTCCTCCCTTGTATTATTTACTTTCTTTCTCTCTTCCGTTCATCTTCTCTCTTTCTCTCACTATTTCTCTCTATTCCTTTCTCTTCCTCCCTTGTATTATTTACTTTCTTTCTCTCTTCCGTTCATCTTCTCTCTTTCTCTCACTATTTCTCTCTATTCCTTTCTCTTCCTCCCTTGTATTATTTACTTTCTTTCTCTCTTCCGTTCATCTTCTCTCTTTCTCTCACTATTTCTCTCTATTCCTTTCTCTTCCTCCCTTGTATTATTTTCTTTTCTCTTCCGTTCATCTTCTCTCTTTTCTCACTATTTCTCTCTATTCCTTTCTCTTCCTCCTTGTATTATTTACTTTCTCTCTCTTCGTTCATCTAATACTATTTCTCTATCTTTCTTTCTATATTTCCTTTTCTTCCTCCCTATTTTTTTCTCTCTTCTCGTTTTCTTTCTCCTTCGTCTATTATTTCTCTCTATTCCTTTCTCTTCCTCCTTGTATTATTTACTTTCTTTCTCTCTTCCGTTCATCTTCTCTCTTTCTCTCACTTTTCTCTTTCCTTTCTCTTCCTCCTTGTATTATTTACTTTTTTCTCTCTGTTCATCTTCTCTCTTTCTTTCACTATTTCTCTCTATTCCTTTCCCTTCCTCCCCTTGTATTATTTACTTTCTTTCTCTCTTCCGTTCATCTTTCTCTTTCTCTTTATTTCTCTCTATTCCTTTCTCTTCCTTTCTTTCTTTTTCTCTCTTTTTCATCTTCTCTCTTTTTTATTTTCTCTATTCCTTTCTCTTCCTCCCTTATATTATTTCTTTCTTTTCTCTTCCGTTCATCTTCTCTCTTTCTTCACTATTTCTCTCTATTCCTTTCTCTTCCTCCCTTGTATTATTTCTTTCTTTCTCTCTTCCGTTCATCTTCTCTCTTCTTCTATTTTCTCTATTCTTTCTCTTCCCCTTGTATTATTTTCTTTCTTCCTCTCTTTCTTTCGTCTTCTCTCTTTCTCACAGTTTCTCCGTTCCTCTCCCTCCCTTATATATTTTATATTTGTATCTTTCTTTCAATCTTTCTTTCTCTCCCCTATTTTATATATTTCTCTCTCTCCTTTCGTATATTATTTCTTTCTCTTTCTTTCATTTTCATATTCCCTCCTTTTGTTCCGTTATATTATTTTTCTTTCTTTCTCTTTTTCATTTATTTTCTCTCTTTCCCGCATTCTTTGTCTATTTCTTTCTCGTCCCCCAACTTATATTCTATTCTTTTCTTTCTTTCTTTCTTTTTTTCTTTCTTTCTTTCTTTCTTTCTTTCTTTCTTTACTCTTTTTTTCTAACTATTTTCTCCCTCCCTTATATTATTTCTTTTCTTTTCTTTCTTTCTTTCTTTCTCTCTTTCTCTCACTATTTCTCTCTATTCCTTTCTCTCCCTCCTTTATATTATTTACCTTCTTTCTCTCTTTCTCTCCCCTCTTATATTATTTCCTTTCTCTTTCTTCCATATTCATTCTGTCTCTCACTATTTTTGTATTCCCTCCTTTTGTTCAGTTTCTCCGTTACCTTCTCTCTCTCACATATTAATATATTTGTATCTTTCTTTCAACATTTCTCTTTCTCTCACTATTTATATATCTCTTTCTCTCCCCTCTTATATTATTTCCTCACTCTTTCTTTCATATTCATTCTTTCCCTCCTTTTGTTTCGTTATATTATTTTCTTTCTTTCTCTCTTTCATTTATTTTCTCTCTTTTCCTCATTCTTTGTCTATTTCTTTCTCGACCCCCCAACGTATATTATTTTCTTTCTTTCTTTCTTTCTTTCTTTCTTTCTTTCTTTCTTTCTTTCTTTCTTTCAAACTATTTTCCCTCTCCCTTATATTATTTCTTTCTTTCATTCTTTCTTCTTCTTCTTCTTCTTCTTCTTCTTCTTCTTCTTCTTCTTCTTCTTCTCTCTCTCTCTCCCTCTCCGTATTTCTGTATTCTTTTCTCTATTCCTTTCTCTCCCTCCCTTATATTATTTACTTTTTTTCTCTCTTTCTCTCCCCTCTTATATTATTTCCTTTCTCTTTCTTTCATATTCATTCTTTCTCTCACTATTTTTGTATTCCCTCCTTTTGTTCCGTTATATTATTTTCTTTCTTTCTCTCTCTCATTTATTTTCTCTCTTTCCCGCATTCTTTGTCTATTTCTTTCTCGTCTGCCCACTTATATTATTTTCTTTTTTCTTTCTTTCTTTCTTTCTTTCTTTCTTTCTTTCTTTCTTTCTTTCTTTACTCTTTTTCTAACTATTTTCTCCCTCCCTTATATTATTTCTTTCTTTCTTCTTCTTCTTCTTCTTCTTCTTCTTCTTCTTCTTCTTCTTCTTCTTCTTCTTCTTCTTCTTCTCTCTCTCCGTATTTCTCTATTCCTTTCTCTCCCTCCCTTATATTATTTATATTTTCTTTGCCGTTCTCTCTCTTTCTCTAGTTTCACTTTTCTTATAATTCTTCTCACTCCTTCTCGCAATATACATTTAATTTTAATATAGACCGGACGATTATTTTATTTTTTATTTATTCATTTTTGGTGAAAGATCTACCCCCAAAACATCTTTATTCCAACCACGCCTCAATTCTAAGTTAAGGCGTGCAGTGTTTCCAACCTGGGCGATATCGTTTACCGGTCAAATGTTGGGTGGGCAATGATAACTGAACAATCTGCAGCACAAATCAATGTTATTTGTTATCTCCCTTTGGTATATTTGCTACATCATAAAGTCAGTTTATG